CCGCGCTCGAGAACAAACTACGCAAATCAAAGGGTTAGGTACCAGCTACCCAAAATGTTAAACTATTTTTATCGCGGAATTTTTCCAACAAACGCATACTCTCTTTACTGGTTTCGTGAGAAATATGATTGTGTATTCTTGAGAGCGGTTTTGTTTTCAGTGCCTCTTCTGCTTTTGCTGTTGGGTGAGGAGAGGGGCGCTGTCAAGCAGTCTTGTACTGCTTTCTTCCCTCCTCCTTCTCTTCTTGTATGAAGAGGAATAAAGAAACTTGAAAAAACGTTAATATTGAACTCTCTTTGAAAAAAAAATATATATATATACTTGTCTTTCACTACGAAGCTTAGGAAGGCGTCAAAGAAGTTTATTAAATTCGCCACGATCCCAGATGGTGGACGACAGGACAGGAAAACGCGAATCTCCAATTTCGTATTGTCCTGTCCTGTTTTCCCACTCTACGGAGTTAGAAAAGGGGAGGATGTTCCCCTTGCATAAGCAAAAGGGAAGCGCCCAACGTGGGGCTCGAACCCACGACCCCGAGATTAAGAGTCTCGTGCTCTACCGACTGAGCTAGCCGGGCGGTGTTGATCGGGTTTTGGGGGAATGCGTCTGGAGGGATCACTAAATAGGTAGGAGGATGTACATGAAAGGATGCAGAAGAGCTGGTTAACCTGCAACAGTAATTACTGTGTTGTGCTATACAATCGGAAGTTCGTCGGCCTTGGTGGGTCTGGCGCCTCAGCTGTAGATGAGCAATTTAGCCAGTACGGTACAACCGCTAGCGGCTAGCCTGGGGTCTTTAATGTGCACCACGCGGTAGTAATACATGACCCCACGCCGGTACGATGCTCATCCAGATCCAAACGGGCGGGGGCAGCAGGGGTGAGGATTGAACCCAGGATCCCTGGGTCCTGCAGCGAAAGCTTTCACTGCACGCTCTCCCTGCTGTTGTGCGGTAGCCCACTCTGCCACCGGTCCCCCATCTGCAATAAGGTGCGAGCGACAAGTTGGGTGATGTCTAAAAAACACGGTGAAAACCGAGCGTCATCACGTTTTTAAAGCAACACCGTTAAAGTATATAGTCTCTTATTTTCGTGAATGAATGCAGAGATACCCCTACACAAGAGGTCACAGTGAGCGTCTGGCGAATAGTGTCACAACGATGCTTTTGGTAGCGCGCGTCACCAATAGGGGGTATTCACTGAACGCCATATTTGAGGGTGATGTTTAGAGCGCATGCTTAGAACGAGCTCACATTTAAGCTGCTAAGACCGGTAATCTTGATGGTGCAGAATGCACGTTGCAAAAGAACGGGCGCCCCGTTGTGGCGAGGCGCCGAAACACACTTGTTCAGAGCGATGGAATGTCCGCTCGTGCTCCTCGCGTTCCTCGGGCCAGTCTTGTACATGTTACTGTAAAATAGTAAGGGATTACATTTACAATTACTCAAGGCTAAATTGTAATTTATTACAATTACACTTCCATGAAAGTAACGTTACCCCAAAAAGTAATCCGTTACTTTCGTGGCGTTACTTTTAACATTATTGTCCTTAAGTAAGAAACAAAGGGAAGAGAATTATTCAAGTTCTTATTATTGTAACGTGTTCCATTGAATGACCTTGAGTATTTTGAGCAACAGCTGGCTCTCGAAAGTCTCGTCAGACGTTTCGCGTTATTTCTTACTCAATATGTCGACTGCTACGCTGAACACCATTTGAGCTGAGGCACTGGATGGGAGTGCCATATTGTTCCTCACAAATGCTTCATGCTCTGCATTGAGCTTTTTCAGCGAAGCAAGGGAAGTACTATTTACCTCGAATGAAGAGCAAAGCTTTGTCGTTGCAGCCGTTGCCTGCTATTCGAGAGATTTAGTAGATCCTTCCGATACCTCCGATACCCGCGATAACGGTACCCGATAACGATACGATGCATACACAAAGACGGCGGCGAAGTATCGGGTATCGTTATTGGAGTCATCGGACCGATCTACTAAAATTTTCCATTGTCTAAATCGCGAAGCTGTGGAAGTCATCAATAGTAAAACATAGTTGAAATAGTAAGGTGATAATTAAAGAATAAATAGAGAGTTTTAGTAGATCGATCCGATACCTCCGATAGCCTCGATAACGATACTATGCATGCGCAAGGGAGGCGGTGGCGGTGTATCGGGTATCGTTATCGGAGTCATGGGAACGATCTACTAAAACTCTCTAGTAAGGTTCAACTCGATATTCTTCTTCCTTTGGTTCTGAACAGTTCAAGGCTCACTTGAGACGTTGGTGAATAAAAAAAAAAGGTTCGAGTATATAAATATAAGTAATAAAAGGAAGGACACTCATAACCACAATTAATTAGAACGTCGGTTAAAACAAGGAAATGTAAACGCACGTTTGCCGTTCAAAAACGCACGGAGCACGGACCGACTGCAGTTTACTCCGGTGTTCTCCAGATAGACGTCCGCTGATGCCACGGGCAGCGAAGAACGGAGAACTGAGCTGCTCATGAGTTTCACTCTCATGAGCAGCCCCACTCATGAGTTTCACTCTCTCCTCAACCCCAAAACATCAAGTCTAAGTCAGCCACCATTATGTTTTATTTGTAAAAATATTTGCTTGAGATAAGATGCGGCCTGCTGGGACAAAACAGGAAGAAGAAGAAAGGAAGACTATTACCATTTTCTAAGCGCTCGCAAAAAGCTGACTCACAAAAAGGGTAGGGTAGACATGGCGTTGTCTCGTGTTGTGACATTTTGAAAAGGGCATTGTTAATTATTTTTAGTGCACTTACCCCCTCGAGCTTCTCGAGGAGGCGCACAATCATTTGGTGTCCTCCTCTCCCTATCTTCGATCGCAAAGAAAAAACAAAGGGACTAAAAAAAACCGGAAATGACTTGCCTCCCCCCCCCCCCTCCTTTTTCTTTCTTTTTTTTTTTTGTTGTAGAAATGTTTATTTGGATTTTTTGACATTGTTGTTAGTGTCAAAAAATTAAATAAAAAAATAGAATCAGGGGTTTGGTGTTGCGAAAAAAAGGCTTTGCGGAAATGAAGAGTGCCACTGGTCAATTCGCGTAACAGTGTCACTGCGCTCGACTTTACAAAAATATAAAAAAAAAAGTTTTATTTAGAATGGGAGGGGGGGGGGGGTTGGTTCTGAAAAAAAATGTAACGAATTACAAGGAATCCGTTACGTCAAAAATGTAAGGGAATTACTTTAAAATTACTCCAGACGATGTGTAATTCCGTTACTAAATTACTGATAAATGTAAGGGATTACAAGTAATTTAGTTACTTGTAACGGATTACGTACAAGTCTGCCTCGGGCTACCGCTTCTTTTCTCGTCGGGTTTGAAAACCACGTTTCGCGTCCTCGCCTATGCAAAAGCTGTGCGCTGACTAGAGGCTCCCGAGAAATGCTCTGTGCTACCATGATTCTCGCGCTCCAAATCTGCGACCGAGCACTCTATGGCTCCGTCATCGAACTGCCAGGCTCTGTGAGTATTGAGGAGGGTTTGATTCTGTATAATATTTAATAAATAATAATAATTAAAAAAAAAAAAAGCCGAGTGGGCTAGCGCACCCATCTCGGAGCGCGTGGAGTGAAAGCTCGCGCTGCAGAACCCAGGGATCCTGGGCTCAATCCCCACGTCACGTAACACACGGCATCGCGTAACGTCGTCGACGATGACGTCGTGGCGTCGTCGTGACGTGGTGCTTTGACGTTACCTTTGGCGTCAAAATCATTAAAAAATACAATATAGCCCCTAAGGGGCTATATTGCCTATATGACCTTGACCTGTGTCGTTGCTTCATCGCAGCGAAGGTGGCGCTGCGATCAAAGTGGCTTGGTTCCACACAACGTTACTAAACCACTTAGTTGGGAAACTGCCATAGAGACTGCTCTGAAAAAGTGGCCCCGATCTGTCCTCGAGAACCGAGCTAATGGCGAACACAACGCCGCCATTTCTCCCGCAGCGGCCACTCGAGGAACTGCACGTTACTTCTATTGTGGCTTTAATCGGCCATTTTGGCGCCGAAAGAGATACAGCGGAAGAGGTTAGGGTCCCTGTGATGTTTTTGAAGGACGGACGGAAAACAACCAGAGCGACGCAAGGCCATTCTTCTGCATTGTTTGGGGACGGTGGACTCGTGCCCCTCTCTGGAACCGTGGAAAGCTTGGAGGCATTCCATGTGCGGCCATCTCCAAGTCTGAAAGAGACGGGTCCCCTCTTCGCCAACACTTCAGTTGACGAAGAAAAGCCGCGATCTCCCTTGAAGCGAACTGACGGCTTCTTGACACGAACGAAATCGCCCACTGCTATTTTCGGCTCCTTAAGGTGTATCCACACGACGGACCGGGCCGCGGACCGATTGATCACGTGATGCGCGGCCCGCGGGCCGCACGGCTGCAATGAGCATCCACACGGCGGACCAAAAGAGCAGACGACAGAGTGAACGGGCCGGCCTAACCCTCGACCTCACAGCTCCGCCAAAAACATGCAACGAGCTGCTTTGAGGCTATTTGTAAGGAGCCAAGATGGAGGTTGAACGAAAGAGACTTTTGGCCGCGGTGGCCCTGGCGTTGATTATTGACGACGAGGAGGACTTAAGTGAACCGAAAAGGGCATGCATCTATTGTCCCACAGAGCGGGGAATCGCTCCACGAGCGCGATGAAGTAAAAAGTTGCATCGTCGCACCATGCCGCCATCGTTGCACAACAAAAGGTTCGTCTTCTTCGTCTTCAACAGTTGGCGCCAAAAGAACACGACTTTGGATTTGGATTCCAATCTAAACAACAAAAGTCAGCTTGTTGCCAGAATTAGCACTTCAATTATACTAAAAACGCCGCGGTCCGCCGCCAAGGTCCGGGCGAGAAAAGCGCTTGGCATTTCTCAGAAGCGCGGGCCGCGGACCGCCGGCGGACCTCGAAAAGTGGTGACGTAAGATCACGTGATGCGCGGCCCGCGGACCAAAACAGCAATTTGGTCCGTCGTGTGGATACACCTTTAGCAGCTCTCCTCCGGTCCGTGTACTCCTTGCTGCTTTGCTGTTGAAGCCGGACCCTTTGACGCAGTCGCGCCAGTTCCTTTACTGGGTCTTTTGCGAACGCTGGTGCCGAAAACCCTACAACATCCAACCTGGTTCGAGGCATCCGCCCATGCAGCAGAACTGCTGGGGCAACCCCAGTGGTAGCCTGTGGAGTACAACGGTAAATAGCAAGGTAGTCAGTAACTGCTTGTCGGATAGGTCGCCTTTCGAGGAGTGAAACTTGGATGAAGTTCTTTAAAGTTCGATTAAGCCTTTCGACTTGCCCGTTCGCCTGGGGGTAGTATACCGATGAGTGTGACAGCTTGATGGCTCGGTTTTGAAGAAAGGTTATAAATTCACGTGAAGTGAACTGCGGCCCATTGTCGCAAACAATCTCCTCCGGGTATCCTTCACGGGCAAAGACACTGGTTAAGAATTCTTTTACGGTGCTTGTGGTCACTTCGCTGCAAAAATATACCTCTGGCCACTTGGAATGGTAATCGACCAATGTTACAGCAAATTGGCTATAGCGAGGTGCGTGCTCCAATGGGCCAACAATGTCTAGGCCCAGTTTCTGCCAGGGTCTTTCAGGCCACTCAACAGGCTGCAATGGCACTGGCGATGTTTTGGCAGACTTATCTGCCTCCAGGCAGATGTGGCAGTTTTTCACGGCCGATTCCACTTGCTTGTCCATTCGTGGCCACCAGAATAGCTCACGAAGTCGCGCCTTTGCGCGCGTGATGCCCGGATGCGTCTCATGGGCAACTGCGATGAACTGAGCTGTGAGGGAGGACGGAACAACGAGGCGCTCTGCGCGCAGCAGCAGGTCATCAACAATAGAAAGCTCTTCGCGCACCGAGTAGAAAGGTTTTGCCTCCTCTGATACGGACTTTTGTGGTGGCCAAGAGCCGCGCACGAACGACTTGACGGTTTGCAGGCAATCGTCGTTGAGGACGGCTTGCTTGAATTCTTCCTTCGTCATGGAAGCCGGCTCGACCAACGAGACGTTTTCTTCTTCCTTGGAAAGTTCTGCCTCCGACGTAGGAGCTGGCAACCGAGAAAGAGCATCGGCCACAGTGTTGGTGGACCCCTTGCGGTACTCGCGAGTGGAACCCTGAATTCGAAGATTTAGAGCCTTAATGCCGTCGAGGCCAATCAGACAGGTGCCTTGGCGAACGATGTAGAAAAGAAGTGGTGCAGAGCGCCCTTTAAATTGAACGTCTGCCTGAAAACACCCTAGCACGGAAATTGGACGCTTAGAAAAATCAAGCAAGGTGACGTGCGGAGCTGGAAGGAGCAAAACGCTTTCAAAATGTCGACGAAATGCGTGTTCAGACAGAATCGAAACAGACGACCCCGAGTCAACAAGAAATGTCAAGCTGACATCCGTTACGCCCACTTTAATGTATATTGCTCTGCGAGCAGAATGCTGCACGGTCAAAACTTGCTCAGAACTTCCACTTGACAAAACATTGTCATCAAAATCAACTTCACGAACCCTGCCTTGCGTTTGTCGCTTGCGGTTGCATACTTTCTGAAAGTGGCCCTTGACGCCGCAAAACGAACATTTCTTTCCCTGCGCTGGGCACTGTGACGCTGATGCGCGGTGGTTCCGCGAGCCGCACCGAAAACAGTGAGGTGAAACGGACCGGTTATCTCTGTCTCGCCGAGGGGGGCGGTGCCCCAGCGACGCACGTGAACCGCTCGGTTTCCTTGAAAAGTTCTGCTGACAATGCTCTTTTGGCTGTGAACTGGTTTTTCGCGAAGACTGCGGACGACGCACAGAAACAGGCTCGACTGAAGCAGAGAATTCCTTTAGTTCTTCAGCTGCTTGCTCAAACTGAAGAGCGATTCGTACTGCGCTCTCGAACGACAGGGAGGAACCCTCGAGTAGGAGCCGTTCACGTATGCGATTGGAAGCAACGCCGGCAACAAATTGGTCACGGAGAGCCTCATCTTGTGAATTGAACGAACAATGCGAAACCAGCTGCCGTAAAGCAGCAACAAAGTCATGAACAGACTCGCCTGCGTGTTGGTTGCGGCGGTGGAAACGATGACGCTCGACGACTAGGTTGCACGACGTCGAAAACTGCTTCCGTAAGGCGGCGAGTGCAGACGCGTACACGTCAGTAGTGGCCGCGGTAGGCTTATCTTGAACTGCCGGTGCTGCGGCGCTTGACCCTGCAGGTAAAGTCCGGAAAACACGCTGCCCTTCCGCCCCCAAACAATGCAGAAGAATGGCCTTGCGTCGCTCTGGTGGGCACTCAGCTGCTCCGGACGCTAGAAGGTAGACTGTAAAAGTCTGCTCCCACTCCTCCCATGGCAGGGACGGACGGCCGGGCGTCTGGAGGAACGGCGGCGGCGGAGCGAGGCCGGGGAAGCTCATGGCGGGGCGGGCGTAGCCGGACGGTACGGGATGCCGAAGGTAGCTTGGAACGGCTACATCCTCGTCGCCAATGTGATGTTTTTGAAGGACGGACGGAAAACAACCTTTATTCTGCACGATACATCAAATATATACACAAAGGAAGGACGCGCCCCCTGGGGGTGAAAGAACACAAATGAATACCGAAACTGAATATAACGTGCATCTAATATAACGAAACTGAATATAACGTCTCCCCAGTTGCCGTGCCGCGCCCTACTACCGAAGTTAAAATGCACCTAGGTCGGGACGTGCTACCTGAAAGCACCGCTGAGGCATGGTTGTACGAAAACAATATTAATTGTGCCTCAAACCCTGTAAATTAAAGATTTTAAAAATATCACGCGCCCATCATTTTGTACTAAACTCCAATAAATTTCATACAAAAAGAGTCTTTTCCGTTTGTTTTTACGCAAAAACATGATTTGTAAAAGCTCAAGGTGACCACAGTACGGACAAATGATAAAGAGTGGCGCTGTTGTCGTATTTAGCTCGGTCTCGGTGGACGCCAGCGGCCCAAGTTTCGACGGCGAGTTTCCCAACTGAGTGTTTTAGTAACGTTGGTTCCACCTGATCGCTTTCCCCCTTTCGAGGTGCAACTAGTACACTCTAGTGCAACTGGAAGCATGAGCGCAGCCTATTAGCGGCGAGATGTTTCGGTGGCGCTCTCGTTCGGTCACCTTTCGTGACGTCATTACCTTGTGAACAACAAGCTCGATGGTGTTCGTAACGAGCCTTCTGGAAGCCTGAAATTATAGCGGTCTCAAAGCAACGTTGCCAACACCGTCAAAATTGGATTTCTTACATACCTCGAGACATCCTTTGCTGACGTCATAGTCAGCATTCGGCCAATTGTGGTGGGGCGACCACAGCGACACTTTCGACCGCTCACGTCGCCAATAGCTCGTCCCACTCGTGCCTTCTATACTTCGTTTCACCTTATGTGCGAGCGAAGGCAAAGCTGGAAGCGCGAGCACGAAAGCTCCGTGCGTTCAGGCTTTGCTCGAGCGCGCGAGCTGGGGAGAAACGCAAAAAGCGCTGGTCTCGCGCTTCTAGCTTTGGCTTCGCTCGCAGGGAAAGTGAAACGAAGTATAGTACACTCTACCCCCGCTGCCCCTGCCCGTTTCGATCTGGATGACCTTCGTACCGGCGTGTGGTGTATCACTACTACATGATGCACGTTAAGGCCCCAGGCTAGCGGTTGCACTGAGCTGGCTAAATTTCTCATCTGAGCTGGAAGACAAGTCGCCCGTTGAGGCAGACCAAGTTCAGGCTGTATAAACGTAGACACACCCTTATTATTATTATTATTTTGTTGTTTTAAGCGAAGGTTTTGTATGCTGTATACTAACTTGTTATGGTGTACTGTTGTCCTATAACCAGTGGCTTAGCCAGGAACGTTTTTTTCGAGGGGGGTTGAGGTGGCTGAGATGTTCATGATTTGGAGTGCGGAGAAGGGGGGGTTAAAAGGCATGTTTATATCTACGCTTTTAAAAATGCACGCCAGATTGAGCTGCCGTGGCCGACCTTCTTTTGTCTTGCCGAGATGCCGAGCCACTCAAGCGGGCAAGCCTCCACAAAGGCCTATATGCTGGGGAGAAGGACATAGTAGCACCTAAAGTGGCAATAACCTGTCCTTCTGTGGCAATGATAAAGTGAAGCGAACGGAATAAGAGGAAACAAAAACTGAAGCTGCCTCGAAGCGTCAATATTATATGAACGGCGGGATTTCGGGGACTGAAGCTTCATAAAGCTCCCCCCTTGCTACGCCACTGCCTCTAACGAACAGACACGCTACTTTTCTGCCTCTCTGGTCGACGGTGACTCAGGGCCTACGACCCGCGCCGCTCGTTCGGCCGCGGTGTGCTTAGGAAATCCTTGTTCCAATAAACGCTCTTGGATCCGGCGCAGTCAGAGAACGAACCCGGCGCGGCAACCGCTCTCCTGGTTGTCTGCGGTAAGATTGGTCTTCTCGGGCATCGGGCCTTGGTTGGCTCAGGCCTGAGTTGAACCTAATCCTCACGGTGGTAACTCAAATGCGCTGAAAAAGCGTACCACTTTTTTCTCTCCTTGCTTAAAGGCCGATTTACAGAATCGTCTTCTGCCGGGCAGAAAACCGGTTCCTAGTTTCCTCCTCTCTATTTCCTCTCGCAGTCTTCTCTACTCCTCTCCCCACAGGAGCGGATCTCTGGGCTACTCCCCACAGAAAGGAGCAGAATCTTCCTGATAATGTAGTGATTGCGCAGGCGAGCTGGTAGATGTCTTTCTCAAATGGAAAGGAGGAATTGAGGGAGATTTTCTTTTCTGGCTTCTCGTCTGCCTTTAATCGCAGCACCCACTTTTGAAACGTAAGTTGATTAATGAGCGGTATGTCACGAGCATGCATGTATAGTACCAGACACCAGCCCGCTGAAACATTAAAATAATAGAAGTATTGATATGCTAAACTGAACATTTTGTTCACGTTCTGAAGGTAGCAAACAAAATGATTCATTCTGGTAAAATGCAAACCTGTTTGCATTTTTTTTATGCGTATCAACGTCGTTTTGCAAAATGAAGATAAGCGATTGAATGTACCATGCTGATAAAATGGGAGATCATGTTAGAGAGTTACGACAAAACTAGCTTTTCTTTCTTCAGTCAAAATCATGCCGAACTCGCAATGTGTTTTTTTTTTTTTTTTTTTTCCTTTTAATGACTCAAACTCAATCTACGCGCCCTGGGCGTCCTAGAAATCCCAAACTCATAATTATGCCTATAATGTTTGTTTTTTTTAATTTAAAATGCGGCCAATCATTGTGACACGCCCTCTTTTTTCCGATAGTCAGAAAAAGGCTGCGTTGCGGAAAAGCGAGATAGAGTAACATCGAGATGTCCGCTCCGTGGTTGTTGCTTCTTCGTAGTGCACCAATGACCAGTGAGAAGCGCACCCAACGGAGCTTGAACCGATGCGTCACGGGAAGAGAAATCGTAATCCGATCACAATTGATATGTTCAAAGCCGCGATTCGCGACTGTGTTGAGGTGGGTTGAAAAACGAGGAAATTACGACGTGTGTAACTTGCTCAGATAAGCATTTGGGATTCGTACAAAACGTCGTACGCAGTCATCGAAAAAAAAAAAAATACTGGCCGGTCGTCGTGCCGAGAGTCTTCGACGAAGCAGCCGAGCGACATCGACGGACAGAAAGCACTCGCGCCGTGCGCGCGTTTAGATTAGGTGGCAAGCTCAGGAATTAGTAAAGTAAAACAAGAACGCATTACACTCAGGATATTAATATAGTAAATAACGATAAACCACAGATTCTGATATATATATATATATATATATCGACATGTCTTGTAGTAGGATCAAAACTCATCAGAATACTTTTATCGGATATAATCACATTCACTAAGAGGGTTATAGTACTTGACATGGTACTTGAAACAAATTCTCAAAAACAAAGAAAGTATTTTTACAGGTAAGGAGCAAATTGTTCTTCAACTAGCGTCTTCGAATCTTCTGGCACACTTAATCGTATAAGCGCATTTCGCGCATCATGATAACAAAAAAAAAAAAGCCAGTCATACCTGAGACTAGCATGCATTATTAACAATGAGCTATGTTCATGAATGCAATGTAAACACTGGACATATTCTTGGAAGATTCCAACACTGCTTTCCCCAATGGACTTTCAGATGAAAAAAATCCAAAATCCTACATGCTCTTCTTGACTTCTTCGAAAGCACCAATCTGATCATCCAGGTACCGGACGAGCTATAATGTATCCAACACCTGAAATTGCAAATAGCGTGTTCTCATGGGCTATACTAATGGATTGGGTCTTGGGGTCATCCTGCAGCACGGGCCATGTCATGTGTGCTTGGGCCTCGGCAGTTCTTTCAACGGGAGCCTGCCAAGAAAGAGCTGCAGTTATCTGAGGCACTAGTCGGATAATGCCTTTTTGAATGTGATGTGTGAACACATAGTGTTGTTGCTAAAACAGTCTTGAAAAATGCTGGGTAAAGTGGACTGCAAGAGGGATCAAATGAATGGGGTCTAAAACTGCTCTGGTCACTGCTTCCTGGAAGTTCCAGCTAGTGCATGTTGCCAGGCTGCTAAAGCTGGGTGGTGTTGCAGTGACTGCAGTTATAGTGATCTCTTGGCCCTTGCCAAACAAAACTGTATGATCAATCAGGCAGGCTTCGAAAGTGTTTGTTGTGTAAATGAGACAGAAAAAAAGTGAAAGCCGTTTACAACTCCCTGTAACGCCGAATTAGAGCGCAGCTCTTGAGGAGGAGGAGGGAAGGGTACTGGGGGGGGGTCAAGTGACCTTGGGTGGGGGTCACGTGACCTAGGGGGGTCACGTGACGATGACGATGCCGATGACGTCATCAGTAACGATGACGATGCGGATACCGATGACGTCATCAGTGACGTCACTGATGACGTCATCAGTGATGATGACAATGACGATGCGGATGCCGGTGACGTCATCAGTGATGATGACGATGACGATGCGGATGCCGGTGACGTCATCAGTGATGATGACGATGACGATGCGGATGCCGGTGACGTCATCAGTGACGTCACTGATGACGTCATCAGTTATGATGACGCTGACGATGCGGATGCCGGTGACGTCATCAGTGACGTCACTGATGACGTCATCAGTGATGATGACAATGACGATGCGGATGCCGGTGAGGTCATCAGTGATGATGACGATGACGATGCGGATGCCGGTGACGTCATCAGTGATGATGACGATGACGATGCGGATGCCGGTGACGTCATCAGTGACGTCACTGACGACGTCATCAGTGATGATGACAATGACGATGCGGATGCCGGTGAGGTCATCAGCGATGATGACGATGACGATGCGGATGCCGGTGACGTCATCAGTGACGTCACTGATGACGTCATCAGTGATGATGACGATGACGATGTCGGTAACGTCATCAGTGACGTCACTGATGACGTCATCGGGGGTCACGTGACCCCGGGGGTCACGTGACTGGGTGTCACGTGACCTTGGGGGTCACGTGACCCTGGGGGGAGGAGTCACGTGACCTTGGGTGTCACGTGACCTTGGGGTCACGTGACCCTGGGGGGGGTCACGTGACCTTGGAGGTCAAGTGACCTTGGGATGACCTTGGTTACGCCGACG